TAATTTGTGGCTTCGGTGTTTTGGTAGTGAAGGTTTAATCTTGAGCTGGTATAAACCAAAGGAAAGGATGTCAGCGAAGCCTTGGTAACAGCGAAGGTTTTGCTCTTCAGTGCCTGCTTTTAATAACACTGAAAGCAGCTCCAGTGCCCAGAATGGTGGCTCAGAACGCAGTCAGAAGCAAAACGTGACCGTAAAAGTGACTGCGAATAAAGGAGATCGATAGCATCGAGGCCTTCAAAAACCTCATTTGGATCTTGGAATTTGCGTAGGAGCAAAGGATCGATTTCCTTACAAGGACTGAATTAAAGTCTTTATAAAATCCTGCATTCTTACAGCCGCACTCCCAGGTCTGGCTGTGCCCGCCTCGGAGCTATGCCGACCCTGAGCAGATGCCAGCGCTTCCCAAGCGTCCCCCGTGCCCGGGACCCTCTGCTGCTGACCCCCCCCTGGCCTTCACCCCCCCGGTCTTGGGCTGGGTGACGAGGCCAGACGTGGGGATGTGCCTGCCAGCTCTGGTCCCCTCAGATCACACAGCTCAGCACCTTACATCGTCAGCAAACCGAGTCTTGTGAGGCAGAAAATAGAAGAAAGCTTTCCAACTGTGGGGATAGAGGCCAGGGCTCTGTCTTTGCTTGTGCCCTACTGACTCCTCCGTGCTGGAACTTGGTTTAAGATTGCTTTTTCCTCCCCAGATTATGATTACAGCAGTGAAAACGGAAAAGACGACAACTCCGAGAAGTACAGAGAGGGAGAGGAAAGCAAACAAAGCACAGAGAATCAAGGTGAAAAGCAAAACGAAGATGCCAGGAACTATAAAGACCACTACGGAAACAATGAAGAAGGGGAAAACTAAGAAGAAAATAACAAGGAGAGCAAAGGGGAAAAGAAAGGCAGAGACAAGAAGAAGAATAAATAGGAGATGATGAACAACAGCCGTACCTGGTGCTGGCGTGGAACAGCGTGCCCCAACGGGATGGGATGGGGAGGAATTGGGATGCGATGGGACGCGATGCTGTGCTGCAGTCCGGTCCTTGCAAACGAGCTTTTCCCGGCGGGGCCCCCCCAGTCGGTGCCTCCGGTAGGGTCCCCGTCCCCCCGGTCGGTGCCTCTCGCACCGGCCAGCCCC